GGACCAGATGATCCCCAGAGGTCCCTTCCAACCCCAAACATTCTGTGATTCTGTGATTTTTAGAGTTTCTTGTTACGTATGATTTGCTGACATGCGTTTCAGCTGAAATCAGCTGCAATAAAAAAAGGGCCCAGGTAACGCTCACTAATTAAAAGGGAAGAAAGGAAGCATGCAGGGCAAGCGTGAAATGTGAAGGGCGGAGCAAGCAGGTGAGTGTCCTGTTAGCAAATTGACAGTTGCTGTTGCGTAAAGCTTCCGACAGTTGTCCCCTGGCGCACGGGAGTTTCACATGCTAAAATTTAACACAAGTCATAAGGCTTGAATGACCCCTACAGATGCTGAATACGAAATCCTGGTGACAATGACTGGTGACATTTCTAGTCTTTGTTTTGGATAGTTTTTGTCTGTGCTGGTCACCTGAATTTCTTCCTGACTCCTGGCAATTCGGCACACTTGGAAGGGTCCTGGGTTGCCCAGGTTAGACCCTGAGTTTCTGTTCCTGCACAGTACACCTGTACTGCTTTTTGTTGTGGTTTCTTCTTTTGTGTTTGCAGATACAGGAGAAAAATGCAAGAAGCAATTGGCTTCAAAAAAATCACATTGCCTCGAACAGCAAATTTATCTCATAATACTTTTATGATAGGTGTATCATAGCTGCTTCATCGTTAATGATACTGAAGTGATTCAGCTGTAGATTTGGAAATGGAGCTCCTCTCCTTTTTCTAAGGCAAGATTATCAAATAAGCAGAAGACAAGCCAAAGCATGGCTTTGTGGAGTGTTTATTTTGGAAGGAAAAATTAATGATGCCACCAGGTATTTTTAACGCAGTCCCATTTATTTATAAACAACATAAAATGTCTTTTTTTTCTTTGAACTATGAAGAATCAAACAATAAGAAATAATTTATTTGCTTTTAGCCTATGGTTTGATGGTCCCTCATACGAATTAAAAATGATGCAGTTGTATGAGACAAGGCTGTGATGATTACCACTCTCCTTCATAGGAGATTTGGACCACCATATTTTTTTATTATTATTATTTGGACATTCACCACACATGAATGTCTCCTTGCATACTGCAGACCACTTCAGTGCTGCAGAGCCCATCAGTTTAACTCACCCATTTTAAAAGACTGCACAGCATCGCTGATGAGTTAGACCTAGAACCTGGCTCCAACCTAGAGCCATCGTGATGGAAGACTGCGTCTGCCTCGGGGCTACCATTCTCAGGTGCTCTCACTGCAGCTGTGGCCTCAGCAGGCAGACCGGCCCTTTCCAGAGTCCAGAGAGAAGCCTCCGTGCACAGTGTTGTTACAGGGAGCTGGAGGAGCGTTGACTTTTCTGTGCAAATGTTTGCCATGGTGACAATAAAGTATCTCAAGCCATCTATTTCGGGCTGTAGTACAGCAAAGAAACACACACTCCTGTAGAGCTTTGAAGACTGGTGGTCCAGGCAGAGGATGGGTATGTGTCCCACTACCGGCCTCTCTTACGGGAGAAAAACTGCTGTTCTCTCCCTCTTGTCCACTGCTGTAGTCTGTGTGGGATGAGAACCTTCTGAACTACTGTCACTTCATGGTGCCGTGCCTGCCGTCAGCTTTTCAACCCCAAGTGACAGGTATCGGCTGGTGCCGGCTTCCAGATGAAGACAGCCACCCCCCCTCCATCACGCTCTGGCGCAGCACAGCTGAGGACGTGGAGTGAGTGTAGCAGGGGGGTAGCAACAAACAGCGCAGACCAGAAATTTGTGTTGCTGCGAAACAGCAGCTCGGGGAGCTGCAGCCTCAGTCTCTCAGTAGGGATTTTAGGGTGGCAGATGATCACACAGCTCTCAGCAGTGCTGCTGTTTGTAATACACAGGCAGAACCTACTTAGGCTATTTCTACTCCTTCTGTTTCTGAGGTAGTGTCTCCTGGCTGCATCCTGCAGTCCTTTTACAGAGGTCCTTTGGAAACCTTGTCTCTTCTCATGGTTCGCTCTCCTCCCTGATGAAGGTGCATCTCCAGTTTGAGAACTGTTGCTGTATATAATATATATTCCTCACAGTGGTTTTACCTGTCTGCCACGACAAAGCAGTGTGGTGTTGCATTGATTTACATTTTGTGCAAAAAGATTCTAGTGAGATCAGAATCTGTGTCTGTAGTTCAGCTCTGGTTCAAAGAATGGTGAGACAAATTTTTACAGTTTCAGGTGTGAAAAATCTCAGCTCTTTCACCTTCCTGCCAGGAACACCCTGTTTTGGGGTGAGGGTTTGGTTCTGCATTCATAGAAGATGAAATTAAATCATAACACGGAGGGCTGGAAAGGATCTTCAAAGACCTCATCGTTGATAGCACTCTCATAAGCAGGTGGTGGAGTGAGTGGCTCCAGTGGCTCAAACCTGTCTTCAACACCTTTCACTTCATGGATGTCCGAAACAAATCGCTGCAGTCTTGGGGGCAGCACCAGCTGCAGTGGCATCCTGGAGCCTGTGCCTGTCTCGGAGGTGTGCCTTGTGTCTGATGCCATGGACACCCGGAGAGCCTCCACCATCATCCCTTCTTGGGCAGCTGATTCAATAACTACATTGTAAGCAGGAGGCTCATTCAGTGGTGAGGGCACTAAGCCTGGATTGGATGCAATTGTCCATATTGCTGGAACTGATGTGGCCATCACCTCCTCATAGGTGGGTGCTTCGTAGGCAGCGTTCACCCTATGCATGAAGGGAGGAATGGCAGTTACACTCGTTATGTTACAGCTTAATTTATGCAGAGGCAAGTAGCGTGGGTAACGTACTATAGGGACCGTGCTACAATCAATAGATGTGACAGGATATCTCACGTGGTGTTTCTGTGATACGCTGCCACTGGATCAGCTCCCTTGTCCAGCCAACTTAATTTCTTGCTTGCTGATCTAGAGAATGGCTCATCTGACCGTTCTCCCACACTCCTCAGAACAAGTAAAAAAAACCCACAGTGGGTTTCAGTGTCCTCAGCCTAGCTTTCATCGTAGAATCATAGAATATCTCAAGTTGGAAGGGACCCGTAAGGATGATATCCCTCATTTAAAATCTACCGGTTGAAATGTATTACTAAGAATTACTACTAATTATTTCTCAGAATAATACACGACATTGCTTTTTTAATACATTAGCCTAATGTTCATCTATTTTTAAGAAGTGGAGAAAATGAAGTATTTTAATTTAGTTTAAACAAGGACTAATTATTCTGTGTTAAAAAGCATACCTGCACAGAAAAAAATGTTACTTTAGAAACATCTTTCTTTTTATGTCGTATTTTTAAATAAACAGATACTGCTTTTCTTCTAGTGTGCCTCCAAGCTAGCAAAGCCCAATATAGACTTCTTTTTTATGTACTCTTTCTAAAAATAAACACATAATAAGATTTTTGCCTTCCTACAACACCCTGTATTTGAGAATGTCAAGTCATTCATGGATGTGAATAATGGTTGTCTGGATTATATGGACAAGGAAGCAGATACAAATAAAGTTAAACTCTTCCACTACAGTAGGCAAATTGGTGTTAAATTAGGTGATGCTGAGAACCTGCAAACATATGTGAAGCCAAGAAGATGTGGAAAGATTCAGAGCTCTCAAAATTAGGGTTTATTAGTGTCAAGTTGGGTTTTTAAGACTGGAAACACACCCAAATACAGGTTCCTTTTTAAAAGTTTGCCAAGGAACAGTTGCTCTGGAGATAAGGTTTATAGAGCTAAACCCAGCTAAGATTCAGTACTGCTTCAGCTTTTGTTTTTCTTTTTCCTTGTCTGACTCATTGTTTGGCAAGACTTGATTGCTCAAAGAAA